GAGCCCGCAACCAAACAGGCCTGGCGCGTCTGGAATGCTTGACGCCCCGGAGCTCAGGAATGTTGCTGCCGGTGTTTGGGGGTGTTGCAGTTAAGGGCGTCTTTGAGCATGGTGGTTCGTCTGCACCTCGCGAATTCATGGTGGGCAGTGAATTGATTTTGCATTCATGTGTTTGACTCAAACAGGTTTGTGAGCGTTTGGAAGAGTTCTGCCTTTCGATACGAGCTTCCCCTCATGGCTGCTGAATTTCGGATTCCGGTTTAGGGTTCATTTTTAAGAGCCTACACCTCTGCACCTACCTTAAGGCAAAGCAAAAGGCAAGGGTAAATCCTAAACCCAGTTGGATGATCCTTTCTCCAGCCCCGCGCTTCGTGCAAGCTGAGAAGAGCAACCCGCCCCTTCCGCCCGCTCCCCATCAACGCTAACCCTATCAGAGCCCGATACAACCCTGCTCGCAACTACAAGGCCTCGACCTTTCTACCTTCCTAACCAGGACCGGCTGAGGGCTCCGTCGATTTAGGGTTCATAGGGTTCATAGGGTTTAGGTTTGTATAGGGTTTATGTCCTGTTCCTTGCTCAGGACGGATGCGATGTTGGGTTCAGGGTTGGGGCTTATAGGATTGTAAGGCTTTATGTCGCTGGGATGTAGGGCTGATGGGGCTGAGGCTTCAGAAGGTTCAGGAGAGGGTAAAGGGTTTAGGGTTTAGGGGGTTGAAGATGTGAATTTCCATTCATCGGATCGTGGACAGCCTCAACTTCCTGTAGAGCATATGGTTTCCAGTCAGGACGTAGCACAGTTGTTCGGGTTTTGGGTCTGAATCCCCCCCCAGAACCTGAACCCCAAGCCCTAGACCCCCAACCCTCCACTGGGTACCAATTTGGTACATTGTTCGAACTGCCTTCTTGAATAAGTAGTCCCGCTAAAACATACTCCACTCATGACCCCAAACAGGAGGCTGCCAAGGCGTGGCTCAACGTTCACGCGCCGGCGCCCGAAGAGGCGCGGGGGGGTTGCAGGGGGGGGGGGGGTTGTAGAGAGGGTCCTGGGCTTTAGCAGGTTTTGTTAATGGGTTTGCTTAGGGTTTAGGGTTTAGGTTTAAGGGTTTAGGGGTTCTGGGTTTCGTTTTTCGGTTGGCTCGACTCTTGGCGGGCATTGGGGAGGGGACAGCTATGGTTGAACTTGACATGACGTTGGCTGGACTCAGTGCGTGACAGCGACAATGGCATCACCACAGCTCTGGACCGTCCACATGCCAAACTCAGCCTTAACTCAACATGCATGGTTGACTTGCATTGTGATAGGTTTTACGTCTTCGTGTCTTGGACTGTTTTTGCTTCTTACTCAAGAACCCCAAACAAAGGCTAAACAACCCAGAGCCCTTTCGTCCAGCGCACGCCGGGGAGCCGCACGCCGAACAGCCGAAGTGGACCTCGGAGCGAAGATCCCGAGGTGCCCCTTTGGGGTTTTCAGGGGGAGTTTGGAGGTTTAGGGCTTTTCGGGGGTTTGGGGGTTTAGGGTGTTTTAAGGGGGTTGGGGCGGTTGGGGGTTTAGGGTTCAGGGCTAAGTTATAGGTTTATGGTTTAGGGTCCATCGGTTAGGGATAGGGGGGGGGGGGGGGGGCGGTTAGTTTGGGACCCATGGGTTTGGGTTAGGGGTTCAAGGGTTCACGAGTCTCGGGGTTCGGAAGGGCTGCTTTTGCCCGTGGTACAATGCGGGCCAAGACTCGGGGTTGGTGTGCTAGGGTTGAGGACTTGGAACCCCTCAGTCCTTGCGCGGCGCGACCTCGAATGGTCGCAGGGACATCAGGGGGCCAAGGCTTTAGACTTTGGGGGTCTCAAGCAATTTGGTGGAAGGCTTGGTTGTGTCAGAACATTCTCTGAGCTACCCTATCTATGTTTGCAGCGGGGCTTGTGGGGCTTTCCTTTATTCCCAGCCCCCCTTCTCTTGGCGATGTACCTGCCACTAAAACCCCCTTATAAATCCGCAGCCATGACCACCACCCAGTCCTAAGTCATTGAAGCTCAGGGACTTTTGAGCAAATATGAGTGCTACAAGTGATAACTTCCCTTTCACCCCCCTCCCCTTTTTCGGAAACCCGAGGGAATTCTCTTTTCTTGTTCCTAGAGAATGGATCCTATGGTGTTCTGCAACTTGAAGCGCTCTAGCTTAAGCACTGAGAACCCAGCTGCTTAGAAGCTAGACACTCTTCAACGCTGTGAAGGAGGGAGCAGATGGGTCTGTGGAAGACAAGGCGGGGCAAGAAGCTGAAGCACCAAGCACAGGAATCAGGATGAGGTAGTGAACAGGCTTCAAGAATGTGGGGCTGAGGGTTCAGGCTTCCGAGATGTAGGGCCTCGGGCTCACGGTTGCGTCGGGGCTTCGGGGTGTGAGACGTTTCGTGTCTTGCGTGTGCGCTATGCAGGCGGCAGAGCCGGATGAGGCAGACTCCGAAGTACCTCCGCAAGCAACCGCTTCGGAGGCGCAGGGGAAGGCTTTGGGGTCTGTGGTTTCTGAGCCGTCTCGCTGTCTTCCGAGTGCTTTTGAAACCTGACGGCTGTCAGATTCCCAGATCCTGAACTGCAGCTGCGTTGCCGCATGGACGTGCCTCTATGGTGCGGCTGCCATGCATGCAACTACCCGAAAGCCGTAAGCTCACTTTGCCTACCAAAACTGCCTATAACTCCAAACCGTGAACCCTGATTAACCCTGAACCCTATAAGCCAGTGAAGGACTTGGCGGACGGGCCTGCGGCAGACAAGGCGGGGCACGAAGTTGAGACCCCTAAGTACAGGCACCAGTATGGTACGTGTGGCAATGGAGGTATGGAGTTTCTGCTTAAACATGCTTCAAGATGTTCAGGGAGTTTCGTCTGAGATGTCTGGGATCTAGCCGAATCTTAAGGGCCATTTAGGGAGCAGGGTGCAAGAGTTGTGGGTTTTGGCGATGTAGGATGTGAGGATATGTGAGGCATGTGGCATTTCACTGATACAGCAACAGCAGCAGGGTGAAATGCTCTTAGGCTTAAAGTTGCCGAAGCCCTGTCAAGCCTAAGACCGCAAGGACTCTTATCGGGTGCTTGGATTCGAAACACCTGCTGCATAAGGTTCTGGGGCTAAAGAACATGCTGTATGAGGTTGGGGGGGAATATTGGGAACCCCTAAACCCTAAACCCTAAACCCTAAACCCTAAACCCTAAACCCTAGACCCTAAACCCTAAACCCTAGACCCTAAACCCTAAACCCTAAACCCTAAACCCTACACCCTAAACCCTAAACCCTAAACCCTAAACCCTAAACCCTAAACCCTAAACCCTAAACCTGCCACAGGAGCTCGGTGAGGGGCCACCAGAAGCAGAAGGCGGAGCTGGAGCTGAGGCGACGTGTCCTGCCATCACCAACGGGCTTAGGGTTTAGGGTTTAGGGCTTAGGGTTTAGGGTTTAGGGTTGAGGGTTTAGGGTTTAGGGTGTTGGTTTTGGGGTGAACCGTGTGGGAAGAAGTACAATCCTTCGCAGGCGACATCACCGTCTTCAGCCGAGGCCAGAGTGTGAAACTCCACCCTCAATCCTGGACCCTACCTGAAACTCCAAGTACTCCTGAAGAGGAGGGTACCAAAATTATTAGAGGCATTTCAGATAGTTTTGGCGGCGGGACTTACTTGCTGGCGCCTAGGGAAGCCGGAACGAAACCCTCAACCCTTGGTGTCCGCTCGCATCTCTGTGATGCATGGTCGGTGTCAGGCACCAGGTGAGGCTGCGGCTGCTCCTGCGGCAGAGGCCGTGCCCATGATGCCGATTAAACGGTTCAGTTACTTCACTACATTAGGGACTTCTTGTGGATACCTTAAACTATTGCATTGGGTACCCCAAAAAGGAGTCCAATGTCGTGAACCCACTACAAGGTTTAGGATGCGGTTCTGCGGGGCTTCTGGGGCATATTAATTTGGTTCTGCCCACACACAGAGACCGTCTCCTTAAGAGCTGCCTATAGTATTGCAAGTGTCGTAGGGCCGTATCATTTACAATTCAGACGCCCCTGTACGCGGGTTTTCTATTTATAGATGAATAGCCTACCAGGAAGGAGGCTTTGGGCTTTTAGCTACCGCTCATGGAGTGTGTGCGCCTGCAGGGAGACCCCACCGCCAGCGCAGATGCCGGTGCTGCCAGCGATTCCGCTTCAAAGTCTGGAGAGGCGTTGCCTGTGGCGTCGGGCTACAACCAGGTATAACTAACGCTACCTACTCGAACGCCGGTTGTATCTGCCCATGCACTCCAAGCATTTCCATTGCAACAAACTCGACAAACAAGCTCTGTCAGAATAAAGCTGTCTAGCGGCTAGCGATCTTGCATGTGGCAGCTGAGCCAGGGCGCTGGATCTGGGTCTGCGGAAGCTCCGAACCCCACCGAGGCTGAGCTAACGACTGCAGAGGCTGGGCCGGAGTTCGGGGTTTAGGGTATTCCGCAGCCACAGTCAGAGAGTGCAGCGAGCGGGGGAGAGGGAGAGAGAGAGAGAGAGACAGGGACACGGAGAGAGAGAGGGAGAGACGAGCAACCCGTCAGTTGTCAACCCCCAAGTGGTTCGTTCGTTGATATTTTATTGTAAGCCTTCCCGGTGCTGAATGTATGAGGCCAAGCTTGTGACGTCACGCTCCCCAGACTTGTCAACAACATTTGGGGCGAGAAACACGGCCAAGTCTGATGAGAACATCCCGTGGTTCTTCTTGTTAGTGTTTGTCTTCAGCTCTCTTGCTTTCTTTCTTTCTTTGTTTCTTTATTTCTTTCTTTCATTCGTTCCTTCCTTCCTTCTTTCTTTCCTTCTTTCTTTCTCCCTTTCTCTCTCTCTCTCTCTCTTTCCTGCACTCTCTAGCTCTCTCTCGATCAGTCGGACAGGCAATTACTCGTAGATACAGCAAGTCAGTCGTGAAGATTCATGTCCGACAACCAGCAAGTGTTAGGCTCAGTGACACGTGAGTTTCAACGGATTTGATTTGCGCAGCCCCGCCATGTTGGCAATCTTGACGTTGCTTCTCACATGTGCTGCACAGACGCATGTGCACGCCAAGCATTTGTTGTTGATTGGTGAGACCGGCGCAGGGAAAAGCACCTTCGGGAACCTCATGTTGGGCAGAAATGCGTTCAAAGTAGGCCATGACCTGGAATCCTGCACCACCCGAAGCCGGACAGAGATTGGAAATCTTTTCGGAGGTGAGTTGGAGGTGGAGGTCACAGACACCGGTGGCCTGGGCGATTCTGAGGGTCGGGACGAGACGTTTGTGAAGCAAGTGGCTGACCATGTGAGGTCGCGGCAAGGCTTTGACGGGATCCTCTATGTGCACAATGCCTGCGTGCCACGGATCACAAAAGGAGCACAGAATTCCATGCTGGAGATGTTGCATACATTGGCTGACGATGCCAATCGTGCAAAGCTTTGGCGACACTTCGGGATTGTGCTGACACAATGTGCAATGTACTATCCTTTGTACACAAGCCAACTTCCGCAAGAATTGCGGAAACGATTTGAAGAGTTGGACTTTGACATTCCCATCTTTTGGTTTGTCCAGGACGACAGCATATTAGGGACAGTTATCAATGCTATGCACAGCATGAGGGGCACAGACCTTCAAAGCCGAATACGTTCTTGGGTGAGGAGCCTGCCGGCCCGCTTCAGAATGCCAAGCGAGACCAAGAGAGAGGAGTTGAAGCGCAAGTTTGAGGAGAATCGGGCGCAAGAGAAGCAGCGTATGCAGGAGCTTGAGAACCAAAAGCAACAGCTTGAATCACAGAAGCAGCGTATGCAGGAGCTTGAGAACAGAAATCGACAGCTTGAATCACAGACGAATCGCGGCTATGGTCGTGATGGTGGCGGCTATGGTGGCGGCTATGGTGGTGGCTATGGCGGTGGCGGTGGCTACTACAGTGGTGGTCCAAGCAGATACTCGGCAAGTGGCGGCTGCTTCGCAAAGTCATCCTTGGTCAATGTCCAAGCCAAAGGTGCCTTGGCGGGGGCTCGAACAATTTGTTCTTTGAAGCTGATGTGGTAGTGCTTGGTTTGCGTTCTTACTTTGACCACTGGGATCTTGCATACTTGCAACTTCCAGAAGAACATGCTCTTTTCCTCTGGCATTGGAGCGGTTTGTAGGTCATTCCTCTGGTTAGCTTGCTTGGTAGCTAAGCCACCAAGGCAGCATCCCTTTGGACGAGGTCAAGGTCGGAGACAAGCTTCAAACTGTGGGCCCGGCGGGATATGTGGAGGTCGTGGCATGGATGCACCATGACTTGCAGGTCATTGGCGATGCAATGGAGATCCACACACCCGTGGGCACCTTGAGGCTCACACCTGACCACTTGGTATTTGTGGAGTCGGAGAATGGCGACCCAGTTGCGGTTCCAGCCCGCCAGGTTACCGTTGGCCGCCGCATCATCGCAGCCGATGGGAGGGCCAACGTGAGTGCCGTGGTCAAAACAAAGATGCGCGGGTATATGTTGCCTTTGACCACATCCGGTGACTTGTTGGTGGATGGAATGCTGGCGTCTTGCTATGGCGAAGTCGGTGCATTGTCCCACAACATTATCAATGCACTCATGGCTCCTGTGCGATCTCCAACCCTGCCAGCTTGGCTCCGACCGCAGACAGATGAAGCATGGAGCAAATATGCCACTCTCCTCAAGAATGTAGTTTGGCTCCTGTGGTGAGAGGTGGGCGGAAATTTGAAGGTTCGGCCGATTTGCTGCCCTCTTTTCCTCACTTCGGCGACCGCAGATGTCGACGAAGCGGTGCAGCGCATTTATCAAGCTACAACAGATTAGCACTCATTAGCAGCTTGGAACCCAAGCTTTGATGAATCCCTTATGCCTGTCTCTTTGAAACCAAGATGGGTGTCATCCTGCAGGCAGTTGCTGAATCCTCATCCCTAGACTGTACACCTTGAACCGCTGGCCTGCTAGGCAAAGAAGCTGCAGCATTCGAAGGACGAGGAGGAGAGACCCCATCCATAACCCCCCCTCCCCCACCCAAAGTATGCTTCAATAAGATCCTAGTGGTTCCTTGTTGGGCATATGTAGGAATGTAGGGTGCCTTGAAGGGTATTGGGGGGGTCCTGGAATTGCGACGATTGGCATACTGCAGCGAGCCAGGACGGTGCCGATCCTCCAGCCGAATCTGTCCAACCAGCCACAGCTCCAGCAGAGGCGCGGGACCCGAGAGACCCTACCGAGCCCGAAATCCTAACCTAACCCTTGAACTACACTAAACTCTACACCCACGGAACCCTGCAAAAACGCAAGTGCATGGCACAAGCCTCAACCCCTTCTTGTAGTGTCAAACCCTACCTGGTTTGTAGCTTATTACTTCGAGGTGACCTACAAAAAGGTAGGCTTTGTGTCCCCAGCAGGGGAGCTCCAGACGGGTACCATACAGTAGTATCCCCCCAACAGTTTCTAATCCTTCTTATGGGACCTCCCCCAAACAAACAACATATATACAAAACAAATAGCAAAAATGACAATAATAATACTAGCAATCATAATCATAAAAATGTAATAGTATAGAGTTGTGATGTTCTTCAGTGGTGTTCACAGTTTAGCTTGTTTTCCAGCGTCTGGCCTCTGACTGCCGAGGGCGCTGCGGAACAGACGCTGGCAGAGCATGCTGGCACTGCGACGGCGGACAGTGACGAAACGCCTGAAGAGGCGGGGTGAGATTTCCCAAGCCCTGAAGCCCCTTAGACCCCAATCCGTCTTCACTGTTAGCACGAAAGGAGCGGGCTGCTGTCGCTGCTGATGATCGCTGACCGGGCGACAAGTGCCTCTCGCCAGATTCGGGGGCAGGGGAGGGGATCCAGACTGTGAGCCCATAAGCCCACACCGAAACTTGAGCCTACTAAAGAGTATTATGCGAACCCCTTTTGGAACAGCGAGCGAGGTCAGCCAAGAACTCCTTGCCCTGTGAGATCCGTTCCAGGTTTGCTAGTATTGCTTTGTAGAGTGGGCCTTCATGATTTGGACTGCCCAGGCCAATGCCAACTGGCCGATGGCGCTGAAATGAGGCGCGGGCCGTCCTTAAATCGCGTGCGCCCCCGAGAGGAGCATCGATCGCTTGAGGTCCAAAAGAAGGCTCTCTTAGCTTGATGGCTGGAACCCCAAACCCCAAACCCGAAACCCCAAAACCCGAAACCCGAAACCCCAAACACCATACCCTAAGCCCCAAACCCCAAACCCTAAACCCCACACCCTACACCCCTAAGCCCAGGGATGGGGGTGGCAAGATGTCACACACTGAAAGCCGACTCTGGTCTCAGGGTTTGGGTTGTCTGGGGTTAGGGTGTGTAGGGTGCAGGGTAAGGGTTCTAACGTTCTACCCTTTAAGCTTAGAGTTTGGGCTGTTTGGGGCATTCAAATCCTTCTGTTTTGCTTTGGCTTGGGGCGTTGCTTCTGAAACAGCCGCCTTCCTATACAAGCTACTTCCAAGTAGCTGCTCACGGTGCTTGTCCCTAATACCTTCAAAATTTCGAGTAGCATCCCCGTATTGTCCGTATTGCGATTTATACAATCTGCCGAACATGCACTTTCCCATCGAATGGGCCCCTAGAATCGAACGTCCCAACATACATGGCCCGCAGGCCCTTAAGCTCTTTAAAGCCCTGTGTGGATAGAGAGGCATTGCGGCTTCCAGGCTCAAGCTTACGAACATGAAGCTCCAACCATCTCCAACCCCTACCACTCACCCCCCAACGCCCTGCCAAAACCCCTCAAAGTGCCCATAACAGTAGCCTCTACCATCGAAACAACGTCGCCTATGAACCCTGAACCTCAATAGGAGGCCTCCCGAGCCTTCAACGCGCTGAACCTTCCAAGATTTTGAAGCTCACCCGACACGCCACATCCTTCTTCAGACCGAGCCCTACACCCGAAGCCTCGTACGTCCTGCACCTTAGAACCTGAGCCCTCAACACCCCAACTGGGTTTACCAATTCTGAAGCACCACTAACTTCCGTTGTTGCCTCAGTTTTCGAACCCTGGTTATGAAATAGGTAACTTGCGTGGGATGGTTGAAGGCGAAGGCATGCCCAGCTAGCCCAGAACCCTAAATTACTAAACCCTCAGCCCGCTTTCTTGGGTTTGGGCGCCTCAAGTTGCTGCTCTTCGCTTTGGGGGGGGGCCGGATGGCTCCTTGTGCCCATGGCTTCTCTGCGAGTCTGGGCCGATGGCTGCCAGCCCGGGGCCAACGGCCTCAGTTCCGCAGCTTGTGTGGATTTTGACCATGTTTGTGCCTCAGTCAGAACCCTACACCCTAAATCCCGAGGCTCTTAAACCTAACCTTCAAGCAGCTGTGTCTGAAGCCCAAGCCTTTGAGACGAAGGAACTGCGCTAACCGATGCCCAAACACCAGGATCTCCCAACCGCTTCCACCAACCGTGCAAACCCAGCCTTGGAATAAATTCAACCTTAAGCCCGAACCAACCTAGGGTTTAGGGTTTCGGGGTTCAGGGTTTGGGTTTGGGGCTTCAGGGTTTAGGGTTTAGGGTTCTGGGTTTAGGGTTTCGGGGCTCAGGGTTTAGGGTTTTGGGGGGTTTCTGGTTTGGGTACACTCCCAACCCTATACCCGAAACCCTAGAGCACCGTTTCGGCCCAGGCCCCGGCTGGCTCAGTGGCCATTGCTAGAGCCCGAGCTGCCAGGGGTTTGGGGTTTTGGGGTTTTGGGGTCGGGGGTTTAGGGTTCACTTGGGGTTCAAGGGGTTTTCGGGTTCAAGGAGTTTGGGGTCCAAGTGCTTAGGGTTCAAGGGGTTTAGGATCAGGATTTAGGGTTTCAGCAGGTTGGATTTAAGGCTTGGGATTGTGGATATTGTTTGGGGTTCGGTATCTCGAGGAACGCTTGGTTTCAGGGATGTCAGGAATCACATGTCACGTCGGTTTGTAGGGCCCTCATCCCTCAACCCTAAACCGTCGACTCCGAACCCTTAAGCCGCTTAGAGGTTAGGATTTTGGGTTTTTTTTTGTAAGTTCGCAGGGCCGGCCAATATGGGGGTGCATCCCTGTCCATGGTGTTGCTTATGTTATGTCTCGAGCCATCAGCTGCAACCAAGACTCAGGAAGTCTCAACAGGGACACTGGATCTGTCTCTGGTTGAGGGCCTGCAGAGAGCTTGAGGATTTTGCTAGAGTCTAAGGTAAGTAAGGGTTGAGTTGAGTGGGTTAGATTTGGGAAAGGAGGAACTCTTCCGATGCCACAACCCTCGAGATTTAGGCCACAAGGGCAGGGGGGCGACCCTATATTAGCCCCCATAAAAGATGCGTTCTGCTCGGAACCCCCCCCCCCCCCCCAACCCCCCCCCCCCCAAAAAAAAAAAGGAGCACCGTTTTCGAAGTACAGAACAGCTCCTACTCCGAAACCATATACTCTGGACATCACCGAAGAATGCAATCGCGGTCTTCGATTCCTTTGAGTCGGCCGGGGTCCCTTGTAAACTTAAAGTTTGGGTTCAGGACTTTCCTATTCTGCAAGTGGGAGGAAATGGCAGGAAGGATCCGTTGATCTAAGGGAGGTTTCGGATTTAGGCTGCCGGTCACCTGAAGACCTTAAACCTGAAGCCCCAATCTCTCAACCTAACCTCACGTCATTCTCTGACAAAGCCGCCTGCACCACCATGAAGTCCTAAGCCCTTTTACACTTCTGAAGTTCCTCCGGCAAAAGGACTTTGCTTTCCCCCGCTCCCCCAACGCTCCCCAAGCCAAGGTCGATTTACCGCTTCGACCTGCCGCCAGGCCTAGGGTTCAGGGGGTTTTAGACACCATCCGAACCACATATGGAGGGGCAGATCTTCCTTTGGGCACATGAATAGTATTGTAGTGCCCATTCACCAAGCCGGTAATCTCCTGATTGGTATCTTTTCCGTGTCTTAGGTCATTCCTGTTGGAGGTACCAGCAACTATGCTGCCGCAGATACCAGCCGCGTAGGCGCACAGGGAGGGGGAATCGCATTCTTTGCACCTTTCAGCGGACACTGCAGAGGGTGCGATGAACTATTCCTGCTAGGAGTTAGGATGCTTTCAAAACGCCATGCAGCAAGAAATCAAGCATTAGCTCAAGAGTTGATCGCCTTCTTCTCCTTCTTGCCCACACCCTCGCCCCTCCCTAGAGTAGCCTGCCTGTAAGAAGGGACAAGTCCCATGATTCTTGGCACCTTTCCTTCTTTGGGGGCGTGTCTGTTACTCCAGGGAGATGGCTAGGGTTTCTTAAATCAACCCAAACCCTCCAGCTGGTGCCAGGCAGGTCCTCCTTCGGGTGAAGCTGCTGCCAAGTGATGGCAGGTGGCCTTGCCCGAGAGGAGCATGCCAGATTTGCGAGAGGAGTTCGGCGGTTAGGTGCTGTTCGTAGGGGTTTCCCAATACTTTTAACGTAGTGGTCTGCGCTCTTCTTGCCGAAAACCTTTAGCGCCCAAGACTAGGGTTTGAGCTTTGGGGCTTCCCCAGACCCCCGCCCCAATTGTAGTTCATACAGAACAACTGAATATGCTACATACATATATATATATGTATCTGTATAGGAAAATAGAATTAAACTTGTATAACTACAACTGGAGGTGAATGCCTACCGGCGGGGAGAACAGAGCATGTTCGGGAGAGCCGCGCATAGCCTGATGGTTTGGGCGCAGTGCTTTGAACCGTGTCCTCGATCCCAAGTTCCCAATCCCAATG